AAATAAAATTACTAAATTTAGTAAATTAAATAATTTAAACTGAAAAAAATTAAATATCGGATATCTATAATAGTTTTTAATAATAAATAAAAGTATCGGACACCTATCAGAAGGAAGATATATTACTGATAGGTTCCTGATAGTGAATAAAAAAATCGGGTACCCGATTTATATAAAAAAAATAGCTAAAAAATAAGTGTCCGATATATGGCCGATAAGTCCCTGATAAGTGTCCGATATTAGGAAATATGATGACACTTATCGGGTACCCGATATGTGTCAAAAGATGTATATCGGGTATCTATCGGACACCATGATTGATGCATGATAAATGCATGATATGCCAGATTTTGACCAGTGTAACTAGTGTATAGAAAATGATAAGTTACACAGATTTTACAATTGTTGTTTCTATATAATGCACTTTTGTTTATTAATTAAAATTTCTTTTTAATACTAAACTAAACAAAATAAAATCAAAATAATTATAATAAGTATTAGAAGAATAAATAAAATAAGTTGTTAGAAATTAAAGAGTTATTTATTTATTTAAATAAATGAAATGTTTTAACTTATTTAATAAAGTCTTATAAAATAATATGAATGTATGTAAAATATTGTGTTGAATACTTTTACTTAGAGATTAGAAGACAGTTAATATAATAAAGTTCTGAGTTTTTTGTTTACAATTTTTATCATTTTTATCTTTATTCTAATTATAATCAATGATTAGATTTCAAAAATGTCCATATGACATGATAAACATTTGTATTATACAGTAGAACCTGTCTAAGTGTATACTCTAGAGCCTGGAAGATTCTATGCATTTAGACAGATTATGCATTTATACATTAATGGTGTCATCATAAAAATTTTAATTTTAAATTGTAAAGATTTTTATTATTATTTATTTAAAATTATTCAGCATCATTAAAAAAATGATTAATTGATGTTTGCATTATATTTTTTTGTTTAATTTGTGATACTTTTCTTTTTTGTATTTCTATATATTTAAAAATCTCGATACAATTCACATCTTGTTGAAGAAAAAAAAGTTTTAAAGAATTCAACATGTTTATAGCTTCACTGCAAGTAATTTTTGATTTTTCTATTGTATCATTATCATCAATTTCTTGGTTTTCTTGATTATCTAATCATATTTTTTCTTTCATTGCTTCTATAATTGAATTATCTATAAGAATTTCCATAATCTCATTTTTTCCAGGTTGATTTAGAAGTTATTGCATATCCATTGGATTTCAGTAATTAAGATTGATTATTTGATTTTTGAGATTATATACTACTTCCAGAATTTCTATAGAATCGAGATCAATTTCTAGATCTTCATCTGTTTGTGTACGAATTTCACAATGAAAGAAACAATGATAAATAGTTTTAGGATTTACATTAATTTTCCATGCTGATACAATAAACTAAATTGCTTGTAAAATGTCAATTTTTTCAGGATCTGTCTTATTTGCTTTTACATTTTCAAGTATCAATTGATGAAACCATTTTCTATAATAAGCTTTAAAATTTTTAATAATATCTGCATCACAAGGTTGAATTTTTGATGTTGTATTGGGTGATAAAAAATAAATTTTTGTATTATGCAATTCATATCTTTCTTTTACATGAGCGAAACAATTGTTAATCAAAAGAGGAACGTTACGTTCATGCATTCGTTGATCGAACCATTTAATCCATTCAATAAATGTTGTTCCACGCATCCATGCTTTATTATTCCATCAGTATTGAATATCTAAAAACTGCATATTAACACCTTTGAAACATCGGGAGTTTTGATATTTTCCTATAACCCAACATGGTAATTTATCGGATCCATCACTATTAGCACAAATTGCAATAGTTATTTCTTCTAATTGTTTTGTTGCAAGAGATTTATCTACTAGAAGACGATAAAACAAACCAGTTTCATCTATATTATAAATATCCTTCCATGCATATTGATTAAGTAATTGTTGTAACTGAGGTAAAGCTTCATTAATAATATTCATATCTACAGATCCACTTTCTTCATGTTTTGTATAAGCTTTAATATTATAACAAAATTTAAAACTTTCTAATCACCCATTGGAAAATGACATTGTTTTATTTGGATAAAGTTGTTCTAAAAAAAACTGAGCCTTTTCTTTAATCATATCTCCACTTATAGGAACTTTCTTTTGATTTAGTATAAATCATTCAAAAAGTGCATCATTCAAATATGGAAACTTTACTGATTTAATTCTTTTACGAGTTGTATTTTCATTCTAAAATGCAAGTTCATTAGTTCAATTATAAAGCATATGCAACATTATGAAATTTTATATATGTACATTATCTTCGTTATAAAAAGTTTCTTGAAATTGTTAACTGATCTATTGTAACTTCAAATTCCTGTTCAAACCATTTTTTTAAATCTATTTGAGACATTCCAGGATTTTCATGTTTTTTTTTGCATAAAAGGGACTTTTGAAAATTTGCAATTCCTTTACGTTTAATTTTGTTAGTAGACATGATCGTAAAAATGATATTATATATAAAATGAGTAGCAAAAAATTTATATTAAATACACGTGATATGCTTGTGTACGTCTATTGGTTCAATAATAGGTCAGGATTTTATTTATGCATATGCACGTTATATGTATGCTCTTAACTAATAGTGTCCAACTTGGGACATGAGAATTTTATACATTTAGACAGGTTATGCTTGTATACAGTATGCATTTAGACAGGTTCTACTGTAAAAACATTTGTATTATATGTAAAAAATTTGTGTATTACTAGTTAATACTGTAAATACAATAGTAATGTTAACAATAGAAGTAAAAGTTAAAAGTAATACTAATAAATAATATAAAGATATAATAATAATACTAAATAATAATAGAATAATAATAAATAGATAAAATAAAAAATAAAACAGGTTAACAATGGTCAGGATTACTATAGTTACAACTAAACATGAAATTACAACTAGTTGTAACTTAGTACATAGTCCAATTATTTTTGATAATTTTGAAATTTGAGATTTTATGGTAATTTAATAATGAGATTTGAAAATTTGAAAATGAACATATATACGTAATACATTACAAGAATTATGTTGCCATGTATTATCTTCAAAATTATCATTAATTTTAAATAATGTAATAATTATATATAAAATCAAAAATAATTAGTAATCATGATTATATATAAAAGTTTTAATTAATTAAATTCTGAAAATGATACAAAGTAAACTTAAAAACAAGAATAAATTGTTCACCATAAAAATTTGAACCCTAAAACTTATAAATTGAGAATGATAACTGTTTAATTATTTTTTAGTCATTTAAACTTTAAATATTTATTATTTTCTCGATTTTAATGAAATGAGTCTTAAATTTTTACAATAGTCATATATACAAGTTTATTTAGTATCATTTTTAACTTTATATGTATTAATTTACTATAGCCAGAGTTATGGATTGGATCGCAGCCAGAGTTACGGATTATGGCAATTGTCGGAATAGTTGCAATTCTTGCCTTATACATTAAATCCAGCAGGTATCTTGTTGATATAATAATAATTATATACATATATCCTAAGATTTGTAATTATTTGAGATCAGGTTGGATTTATATATTATACATGTCATCAAAACTATTGAATTTAGTCAGACGCGAAAAATTGGAATTGAATTATATTACGCAATTATTTGACGCAATTATATAGCGCAATTAAATTTCAGTAAATGAGTCAAAGGCTTTTGACGACATGTATAGTATATATATCAAATAATATCTGAAGAAGGAGTTAATGAGAATGGTTATCATTCAGAATTGTATTTTTTCTAAGATTTACAATCAGAAGATTTTACTTATTTGATTTTTTTAATTAACAATAACCAATTTAACTGGACCCTTAAGTTAAATTTAAAAGTTCTTAAAATGTCCTTGTATTCAAAATATGTGGTTCTAATTATAGATAATCTTTTATTTTTACTGAAAAACGTTTAATTGGACTTTAGAATTGTGTTACAAATTATTTTAAAGCAATTTAAAATTACATTTTCTGTATCACAAAGAAAAGCCAAGAAAGGTGTATTTTTGTGAATCGGGTATCAGAATTTTCACTTTTTTAGTTAAGCAATTTTTTATTAATTATAAATTATAAATATATATAAAATATATGTATATATATTTTTTTTACTTGCCAAGATAGAAAAATAGATATGGCTACTTATCATAGTAAAACTTATAGTGACGGAAGCGATAAACGTTCCTCGTTCGAACCTTTACAAAGAACAAGGTCTGTTGTAGGTCCAAGACCTTTACCAAGTAAATCTTCTTCTGATCGGCTATCAACTGACTCATATTCTTATCAGCAAAGACAGAGTAGTGACAATAATAATAATGGTGATAACGAAAATAACGAAAATAAGATATCAGAATATATACCCGAACAACAACATAAATTTGTTATACCCGAACAAACTTTTCCTCCTTTAGTTTCACCCATACCTCAAAAGTATATGCCAACTGCAACAAAAGATATTACAAATGCCTTAGAAAAACAATATCAAGATACAAATGAACAAGAAATTTATTCCTCACAAACTTCAGGGAAAATATCAGACAATGTATCGCTAAATCAAATCCCTGGCACCACTTCTCAGGGACAACCACCACCTTCTCCTAAAAGCCCAATACAACAACCTGTGCAATCTAATGATTCACCGGAAATTCAAAAAAACATTTCAATAGAAAACGGATCAGCCGAAATTAATTCTATTCCAAAGAATAATTATATAATCACAAATAATGACAATGCCTCTAGTAGTTCGATCCATGTACAAAATGAAGCAATTACTTTGCAACAAACTTTATATTCTCAATCAGAATCTTTTCAGTCATCAACTCAACAGCAAAATCAATTACAATCACCTTTAATTCAACAACAATCACCTTTAAATCAACAAGAATCACCTTTAAATCAACAACAATCACCTTTAAATCAACAACAATCACCTTTAAATCAACAACAATCACCTTTAAATCAACAACAATCATCTTTAAATCAACAACAATCATACCCAAATCAACCACAAAATATACAACCACCGTCCAATCAACAACCAATATACTACCAGCAACAACAACCAAACCAACAATTTTATCAGCAACAACCAAACCAACAATTTTATCAGCAACAACCAAACCAAGAATTTTATCAGCAACAGAATTATATTAATCAACAACATCAACAACAACAATATCAGAATAATCAACAACAATATATTCAGAATAATCAACCACAGAATAATCAACAACAACAAATTCAGAATAATCATCAATCTTACATTCAATATCCCCAACCACCACCGATACAATTTCAACCTGTTAATACTGTACAATCTCAATCTCAAACGAGAAATTCATATAACCAAAATATTTCACAAGGACAATATAATGGAATTTCAATTACCGAAACCCAAGTTCCATATCAACAACAACAACAACAACAACAACAACATCAAAATAATCTTTCACCAAATCCTTGGAATTCGTCAACTAATCAATTAATGCCAGGAGATAATAGGGGAACAAATAATCAGTATGTAGAGGGTTCAGAATATTCAAATCGAAGGAAATCCGGGTCATCTGATATGTATCAACGCGGTTCTTCACCATCTGGAATTAATATAATTAATATAGGACCTGATGGGGAACCTATACCTTCTTCATTATCAAATGGAAGAGGAAGTTGGTATGGGGGAAGTAGATCCACCACACCTGATCGTACTTCAAGGATTTCCACTAATCCAACTTTAAAATTATTAATAGATGAGAAAAATGCTAGAAGAAAGACAGCAACATCAAAAACTTTAGCTTTAGATGAAAATGCTGCATTACAAAAATATCGTGAAGCTGCAAAAAAGACAAATGATCCCACCATTCAAATTGATTATGCCAAATTCCTTATGCATATGGCAGAATTAAATCTTGGTGCAAACTCAACAAACTCAACAAACTCAACAAACTCATCAAACTTAACAATAACTAATGTTACTTCTAACAATAACAACAATAACAATAACACCAACATTAGCATCATCAGCAATGACAACAACAACAACAACAACAACAATAATAATAATAATAATTCAGAGACACCTAATAAATTAATTGAAGAAGCAATTTATTGGATTAATCAATTGGCAAAGAATAATCATCCCGAAGCCTTATATATTAAGGGTAGTTGGTATGAAAATGGTAAATTCGGGAGAGAAAAAAACGAAGAAAAAGCTTATAAATTGTATGTTTCCTCATCCAAACAAGAATTTGCAAAGGCTCAATGCAAGGTTGCTGAATATCATGAAAAAAAAAATAAAGATTATAAACGTGCATTACAATTTTATAAAAAAGCAGCATCGAATGGATGTAATGTTGCTACTTATGTAAGTTTTATATTTATTATTAACTTTACGAAAATCTTTAGGAAAAGTAAAAACATTTATTAATTATGAATCTTTTATATTACAATAGCGTCTTGCAAGTATTTATTTGCATGGAGAATTAAAACAAGACGTAGATTACAAGCAAGCACTTATATTTTTAAAGCAGTCTGCATCAAAAGCAGATGAAGAATGTCCTGATGGCGCTTATGTATATGGAATGATTTTGGCTAGAGAATATGATAAAGCCCGAATTCCCGATGATTTAGCAATACCTTATGATTATGAAGCGAAAGAATTAATTCTAAAAGCTGCTAATTTAGGTCACGCTCCAGCACTATACAAAATGGGTTATTTTTATGAATATGCTCTATTGAAATGCCCTTTCGATCCTGAATTATCACTTCAATATTATAAAAGAGCATCAGAAAAAGGTTATATAGAAGCAGATATGGCAATTAGTAAATGGTATTTGTGTGGTACAGAAGGTTATTTCGATAGAAATGAATCCCTAGCTTTTGAATACGCTGAAATTGCAGCTTTGAAAGGATTACCCGCAGCTGAATTTGCAATGGGTTACTTTCATGAAGTTGGAATTCATGTTCCAGTTAACGAAACTATTGCCAATGAATGGTACCAAAAGGTATAAATTAATTAAGTCGATTTCTTTCAATTATTTAATATTTCTTATTCTCTTATTTTCTTATTTGTACATACATTCTTAATCTTTTTTTTTATTATATTATTTATTATTATTTAAAACATTAGGCCGCTGCACACGGTAATAAAGATGCAATAGAAAGATTATCAAAAGGTGGCAAAATATCTCGTCAAGATTATGAAAAAGACAAATTAGGAAAGAGTATTGGAAAAATAAAAGATAAAGATTGTATTATTCAATAATATTTAATATTCATTTATTAATTTTTATGATTTATTTATTACAACCAGGAAAATAGAATAATAAATGGAGGGGATGTATTGAAAAGTTCATTTATAAATTATATTTAATATTTTGAAGATTGAAGGTTGTCATTATTATCTCTGGTATATCTCTTGACACAATAAGTAAATACTTTATCAATAAATTCTTATATTCACGTTGCTAAAAGATTTTCAAGTCCTTTTTTTTCTTGATTTGATTTACCATTTATAATATTCCAACAATAAAATACGTTAATGTATTATTGATAAATTCGTGTACAAATAAAATAATTAAGGATTTTATTTTCATATCATGTATAATAAATGCATAAATTAGCAGAAAATATAATTTGAACATTTTAAAATACATGAAAACGTATAACGAATTTTATTTTCTCTAAATCTTCCCAAAGTTTTTAAACGAATCTCAAAGAATAAATTTTTGTTTATATAAAAATTAAAGAATAAATTATACATAATTATACATAATTATACATTTTATTATCGCTTTTATTGACAATATTCGCAATTTATCGATCTAAACATATGAAACATATTATTTATTATTTATTACTAATCCCGAATTTTCAACCAAGCATTTTGTCTCACAGTACCCATTATCTCTTTTATCTTCACTTCCTTCACCTTCCTCATCATCATCGATATCTAAAACAAATGAGAGATATCGGATTTCAATTCGATCAATCGGGAATGATAACATTCTCTGTGGCTTAAAAAAAACAAGTAAAATTTAAAATCAAGTCCCAAAAAATGCTTAAATCTTCTTTTATTTACTCTTGTTAAGAATTTTAATACTATTGTTAAAATCTTTGTTAATGAATTCTGAATACATTCTCTACCAATAATACATAAAATCATGATTGTATAGGTGATGATTTGTTCCTTGATGGTTGTTGACTGCATGAAAAATTAGAATTGAAAAAGAAAATAGAATATATGAGTCGAGTCGCTTTCCTTTCATTTAGTATCATTAAAAATAAAATTATAATTAGATATGTACCTTGTGGTGATGGCGCATACCACAAGACCTGAGCGATGGATTTATTCAGACTTCGTAAGTTGATATTGTAAGCAACAATTCACTCCCCCCCCCGCTCCAAAAATAAAATTGACATATTCACGTAATTAATTGAGGGATTATTGTAAGCCATACGATCCCGAAAATGATTTTTCTTAGTGATTCTCTAAGTAGTAGGGCCTTTGGAATATAGTTGAGTCATACTATAAAGAAAATTTTATATTTTACTTTTTTAAGACTTAAATCCGCAATTAAAAAAAGAACTTCGGGCACAATAAATATTTTTAAAGAAAGATATTATTTAATTAAAAAAAAGTAAACTTATTAGTCTTCGCGCACAAGTTTAATACATTTGACATGGTTTTTTTGTGCCTAACCATTATAAACTTTCGATTAAAATTTGTATGGTTAAAACGTTGATTACGAAATTTATTCAAGTATAAAAGTAGAAAAGCCTATATTATATATATAAAAATTTGCAATCAAAAATTTATATCTTCTCTTTGTTCAATTATCGTGATTTTTTATACTTTTAACTTTTCAGCTGGTATAAGAGATTCCATCTTTTTACAATTGAAAGAAACATTTAATTTTTCGCTAAAAATGATTTACTTGAAAATTATTATAAAAGCTACGAAATATTCGAAATATTCTCGGAGATCAAGAACAAAGAACATCATTATTAAATCATTCCGTTAAATAATTAAAGATTTTATTATAAAAAAAAAAAAGAACAATAACAATAGAAGTCGAAATTTCTTTGAAACTAATGTAATCATTCAAGAAAATCATATAATAAAAGTCATTTTTGTGTACTTAATCAATGACTTGAGTAATAATAAGAATTTTCTAAAGTAACATTAGTTTTATTTTCCAGTTAAAATTATTTCCTCCCCTCCTAAAGCAATCTATGACATGCTATAGTCGAATCATCTTTGATATTATAATCCGAGAGTGTTTCATCGTCTTCCAATTTTTTATTGTAATAATATAATTGAGTGTAAGTTGTTGTATGGGGAATTCTATTCTTTATATCTCGGAAGGTGTCAGTGAGTTTAACATTAATCTTTAGGATTTTTCTAAAAAGTAGAGCTTCATTTTTTATTTCCACATTAATTTTCATATTTCCACGAAACAGATATTTCAAATGAAGAGTAAATTCTTTTCGAATTTTATAATAAGAAATTGGTTTGTTATCTTCAAGAATTTCTCCAAAGAAATAAAGTCGTTGAACATTTGGTGGGATTCCTTGAATTTCTTCAATGATTTGTTTTATTTTTAAAATTTTATCACAAGGTTCAACCACAACCGATATTGGTTTTCCCTTCAAGGTCTTTACATAAATTTTCATATTTAGGATAAGCAGATCGAGTATGAAGATTCAGGGATAAACAATTACGTCATAAATAATCCCAAGATTTTCTATGTAAATTCTATAAATGAACAAATTTCTTAGGGTATATTTATAAACGTATGAGATTGCGTTTAAGCATAATAGCAAAACGTGCATATAAAAATACATTCTAACACTATTTTCATTATTTTTCTATTTATTAAAGGTAAGCGAGAGTATCATCTCAGATAAATGACAAAGATAGGTGTGTGTTGTTTTTTACTTGACAACCACCCACGAAGATAAAGAAAATATATATTTATTAAAATGATTACTGTTCGATATTTTGTGTTTTAATATAAACAATTTTAAATTTAAATAATTTTTAATCATACAACATACTTAATATTTATAAGATTTTATCTATATAATTTATTATAAGCCTATCTCATTTTTTTTATATTCAATGAACGAAATAAGATTTTCGTACGCTTCATCTGCTCGAAGACGTAAATCACGTGAAGTATTTTTGCTTATTGTTTTGGCCTAAGTCAATAAAATTTTTTTTTTTTTTTAGTAAAAAATTACAAAAAAAAAAAACAAAAATAAAATAGAAAGTTATTATTCCATATAATTTTGTAAAAATATTTACCATATTATGTACAACTTCGATCACTCTTTCTAATAATTGTAAGTAACCGCCCCGTACAAACACTGGTTCATCATAATCAAAATTTTTGTCCGAGTAAATATCGTATATTGCATTAAGAGCTTCTATCATACATTCGGGGGATGATAATTGCATCACTTGATTTTTTATAACTGTTAATAAAAATGTGCCAACCATCTATTAATAATAATAATAATGAATGAACAAAGGTCAAAATTTTTGCGAGAGTAAAAAATAGAATCATTATAATGATAATTAAAGTGACTCGACCTTATTATCATCTACTGCGTTCTGTCTTCTCGCAATGACGCCGAGAGTGCCGATGATCTTGACATTCATACTTTCTGAGACACTTGAATTAAAGTAATCTATCAATATTTGGATTTGTTTCGTTTCAAGTGGCTTCAGTAAAAAATTCATAAACGGTTGTCAATAATGTGATATGATTATCATAATTTATTATATAAAAAAATCCATCTATTAATACATACCACATCACAATCTAATCCTCTGGACAATGTCCAAAGACACCCTACTAATGTTTCCGAAATCTTACTCCACATTTCCTTTTCCTGTCCAAAATCTTTGGCTTCAACTTTCACCCCATTACCAGCAAACTTGTTGAATAATTCAAATAACCATATCCACATTTGTTTTGCATCGGATACATGTTCAGTAAACAACGATTTTCCCTCGATTGTTTCAGCCATTGTCAAAAGATAGTTATTCAAACATTCTACTGATCTCATATGAACCGTTACAAGTGACGAGATAATGGTGGATGCGATTATAGATTGTGATGGATAAAATTGCTCTGGGAATGAAAGATGTATTGGATTTGCCAGACGAAAAAGATGAGGCAAAATATCAGTGGTCAACAAATTTAATATAGACATGTTTTGAGTAGATATTTCATGTCTATTATTGACGTCCATCATCGGAATATCGTTATCTTCCATTGATAAAAAATTTGTAGAACATTCTATGTCGTTAATTCCTTCACAAAGATCATCTTGCCAATCATCTTCATCTTATGAATCAAAATTTGAAAATGATTTAGTTAATTAGTTAATTAAATAAATAAATATATATATAATGGAAAAATAAACAGAATAAATAAGATCACATGCCTATAGATGAATTAACCAATCCAACCTTGGCCAAAATTTCCAGTGCTAATTGCAAAGTTGTTAACTGAGAATTGATACCATTTAATTTTTCCTAAAATAATAATATTACAATTAAACATCTGGAATACATGAAATTATTGAATTTTTTTTTTTTTTTTTCGAAAATATATTGATAATCTAACCTCGACAATTGATGTATCTATTGGATGATCTATACCAATATTATTTTCTTCCTAGTTCAATAAGTTAGAATATCATTAATATTGTAATGATTTTTTGATACTGAAAAATGAAGATTTGAGACAGAAGATTTATTTACATTTTTAATAAACAGAGCAATTGCATCCTCGGCCACTTTGTTAATGTCAAGTGTCAAACAAGACGCTAATACAGGAATTAGTTGTAAATTCAACTCTACAATTGGGTCAGATTCAGGTTCAGAAGGAATATAAATTGAGCTAAAATTTGAAAGAATTCCTACAAATAAATTGTCAAAACAATATTTATTTATCTTGAATAAAAAAAATTATAAAAAATCATCATATTTTTACCACAATATAACACCCTAATAAGTAATAAATCATCGACTGGTAAAGGTGAGTTTTCTTCAATTTTAATAACCTTAATACCGTTCAAAAGTACTTGTATATATTGATGATTTTGTTCAAAGTGTAAATAAATATCTGGATTATCGTCAGTCATTGTATGAAGGCACTGTGCTTATATAATATATAATTTATATAATTTGAATATTTTTTTTTTTTTTTAAAAAAAAAAAAAAGATTATCAATTTTATAATTTGCAATATAAACGAATGTAGTAAAAGAGATTTGCATTACCAGCAACAAGGACTGTACTAATAGGAATTTTTTCAGAATTTATAAGACAAGACATCAAAAATGGAATAAAATTTGCATTATTTATGCCTCTAAGAATTTTTTGTGAAGTTTCACTATAATAATTATAATAATAAATTAATAAATTATTGTTGTCTATTTGATATGTGAAATTAAACCATTATGACATATTGATACCTTAAAGACCAGATTATACAAATAATATTTTCAATGAAATTCCATATGGTTTTTCTAGCGTCTTTAATAGGATCAGATTCGGGTGGCATTTCTCGTAATATGTTGTCAACTATCATTCCTCCCTTTATTTTTATTTGTTCGTTACAATTAAATTGAAAGAATTGAAGTAATATGAAATCAATGAAAATTATTCTTTGATATTTTGTTTCTTTGTTTTTTTTTTTTACCTTGGATGCAAGCATCATCAACGGAGTAAGAATATCCTTATCGTACATCTCAACGCAAACTTCAACATTATCGACTATCGTGAGATTTCTGTAAAAAAAATTTTTTATTTGGCTTGAATTCTTTGGCTAAATGAACATTTAAATTGATCTTTATATGTATAAAAACTTACCTCAACGTACCAAGTGCTTCGTTGACTACTTCATACACACTATCAGTTAAACGCTCTATAAGAATCGAAATGAGATTATTTGATAACAATAAATAGCGGGTCTTTGAATCTCCCATAACGAGATTTGAAGCGCTACTAGCTGCCCAGGCACGTTCTGTGGCTTCAGGAGATGACAACTATTATGAAATAATGATGAGCACACACACACACAAATATACACATGCAAAATTTATAATTCTTATTTTGAAGTGATATTCCTAACCTGCTCAATTACGGGCAAGACCCTTCCATTAGAATCTTCCTCTGAATTCCTATTTTCTTCAATAATTGGAGTTGGTTTCGGGGGCTTAAATTTTTTGATTTTTTCCACCTTTCCCATTTAAATTTTATCACAAAAAATTAAGGTTGATAATCTCGATTTTCAATGTCAATCACATTTAAAGTAACAGGAATCACCTGAACAAAAATTTATTTTTTAAAATAATAATGGAAAGAATTATTACAAGAGAATTTGAGAATTATCTATCTTTTTCGCCAAAATAAATAAAATTACGAAAAATTAGGTATTTAAATTTAAGTATTATTCGATCATATTCCCGAAAAACGCTTGATAAATACTAATTAAAATACAAAATAAAGATTTAAAACTATAATGAAACTTATTTTTTTAAAAAAAAAAAGCTTTATTAACTAAGTAAATTAATAATAAACCAATAAAAAAGTGGTATGGTAATTTAATTATCTTTTAATTTATTTAAAATTTAATAAATATTTTTTTATTTATTAATAAAAGGATCAGGCATTTTATTAAATAGAAGCTTGATCTTTTCCTTTTGGTTGATAATACCCTAGTTGTGAAGGAACAGGTTGATTATGATACCCTCCCTGTTGTACTGAAACTTGTGATGGAATTGGATTAGAATTATAAGGATTCGGTTGTTGTTGTGACGACACTACTTGAGAGGGTTGTACATATTGAGGTCGTTGTACAATATATTGTTGCTGTTGTGGATGAATAACGGGTGTAGAGGTAGGATATTGTTGATGTTGCTGTTGCTGCTGTATTGGACGTGCAAGTGGGACTTGGTATTGTTGAGGTCCGGGAGGCAACGGTGCATAACCACTAGAACTGGATGATTGTAGTTGTGACAATAGCTGTGGTGGTACCGGTGGTGGCTGCGGTTGTTGCTGTTGTTGTTGTTGTTGTTGTTGAAGAGGAGGATATCGTAAAGGTGAAGAAAAACCGGGTTGTAATGACGGTTGCGATGGCGGTTGAGATGGCAATTGAGATGGCAGTTGCGATTGTGATTGTGAAGTCGGCGCTAAAGGTGTGACACCATACAAATTCGAGTATGATTGTTGAGGTTGTTGATGTGATTGCATCGGTTGGTGTTGAACTTGTTGCTGCGACGGTTGCATTGGTTGAAGTTGTACTTGTTGCTGTGATGGTTGCATTGGTTGGTGTTGAACTTGTTGCTGTGAAGGTTGCATTGGTTGATGTTGGACTTGTTGCTGTGACGGTTGCATTGGTTGGTGTTGAACTTGTTTCTGTGACGGTTGCATTGGTTGATGTTGGAGTTGTTGTTTCGATGGTTGCATTAGCTGATGTTGGAGTTGCTGTCGTAATGGTTGCATTGGCTGATATTGAGGTTGTTGTTGTGACGGTTGCATTGGTTGAAGTGGTGGTTGTTGTTGTGATGGTTGCATTGGTTGAGGCGGTTGTTGTTGTTGTGACGGTTGCATTGGTTGAGGTGATTGTTGCTGAAGTTGTGTGTTTTGCAAGTGAGGTCGATATTGGTTATTATAAGATGAAGTATGAGACAATGATGGTGCTTGTGTCTGTGGTTGTGGTTGAGACGTGGATTGAAATGATCGTTGAATCTCAGTTTGATATGAACTATTCTTTTGACTATACTCTGTTGGTAAAGGTGGTAAAGGTGGGGCCTGACTCGAGGAGACAGGTAAATTATAAGTAAGAGAAGATTGCGATGAAAAAGAAAGTGGTCTTTGAAGTGGAGGTGGTGGATAATATAATGTGGGAGATGTAGGAGGAGGAGCCGATGGTTTAGGAGGAGCTGACGAACTACCATATGATAGTGATGATGTATGGACAGGAGTACTTGACGCATTAGAAGAGGCAACAAATGATGAATTACTAGTTGAAATATTTGAAGGTGGCTTTTCTTGATGTTGTATAGAATGTGCCAATTCGTTTCGTTCTTGAAGTTGTATAGAATGTGCCAATTCATTTCGTTCTTGAAGTTGTATAGAATGTGCCAATTCGTTTCGTTCTTGTAATCGAGACTTTATAAATTGTTGCACAGTTTTTGAAAGATTCTCAATTAAATCATTAAGATCAACATAAAACTGGATGCCATTTCTGTAAAAATAATTTAATTTTAATTAATTTTAATTAATTATTATAAGAAAATATAAGTTTATACATATACACACATATATATCATATATACATTCATACCTCATCCCATCTTTTACTGATAAATAACTGCTCTTTGCTTGATTTAATCTTTCAGAAACATCTTTCCTTTTTCTCTCTGACTGATCCCACTGCCCCAACAATAGTCTTGCTTCATCACTTTCCATTAAATTTTTGTACAATGTGGTCAACTCTTGTAATAAAGCTTGCTGATGATGAATGCTAGATGTTATGCGATTTCGATAAGGCGAGAATTTTTCAAGTTCAGTTGCAAATAATTGAGGCTCAATATTCTGTGTCTTTTTATTTAAAATAAGAAGATGTGATATATCGTCTTGGTGTGTCTAAAATATATATATGTATGGTAAATAATCTTTTTCATTTATTTTTCATTTTAAACCATTTTTAATAAACGATAATTTACCTTGTCTTTCAAATCATTTAATGTATCCATTCTTTCTTTTCTAACTTTGTTCAAATTATCTAGACATTCTTCAACTTTATTAACTTTTGTAGAAATATTCTTCTCTTGTGATATGTCGATATCCAAGAGACTTTCACTTGCATTCAAATTTAATTCCTTGAAATTATCGACCGTTGAATCATCACATAATTTTATGATACCATCCGTTACTTGGTTATATCTTTGAAGTATATCTCGATTTGAATTATCTGCTTGTTCAAGTTTATCCATATGATTAAGTAAATCTTGACGAAAAACTGTAGTAAGCGATGATGATGAAGGTTGAGTCCATAAATCTCCATATTTCACCTGAAATTTCCAAATTTAAATAAATAAAATTGATTATATGTTCTTAATTTATATATATCTATCTCTCACATATCTATATCTTATATCTAATTCTTACCTTCATTGCTTCATACTCTTGTTTTTCGATTTCTAATGAATAAGATATTTTATTTAACTTTTCATTTGAACTGGCTTTTAGACTATTCAAAGTCATTAGCAAATCTTTAATAGTCTCTTTCTCCTCTTTTTCATTTATCAATCCGGCCCATTGTTGGACTTCTGAATTAGAAGTCGCGAGCTCGTTAGTATCATTACCGTTAAGGAATTTAAACAAAATTCCAGGAAGTTTCATATATTCCAATGCAGCTTCTAATTCCCCATTTGAAAGATCACACCTTTCAGTCTCACTACGAACTATTTTAGCTTTCTCCTCTGAATATAAAGAAGCAGATTCATGAACTGATAATGGAATCAAACGTTGAAATATATCAACACCTATAATTTTCTGAATTTCATTTTGATTATAAAGGTCCTGTATTGACATGGGATTAACAATATTTAATTTATCAATTGGTGAAATAACATTTTCTTGTGGGACAGCCTCGTGATATATCAATTCATTATCCCGTGTAGCTGAATTTTTTTTTTCTGTTATAAGAGCCAGATTCAATTTTGAAAGATTTTGTAAAGAAGTTGCCGCATCAGGGGGAAGAGTCTGAACCGAAGTTGGTGAAAAGGAAAAACTGTTGGAAAGTTTATTGGCATCCTTGGCTAAAGATTCTGAAACAATAAGACGACCAACGCTTTCTCCATATTTACCCTCCAATTCACAAGCCAGAGATTTTTGATATTGAGCAATTGACGCAAAATATTTATGTTTGATCTGAAGCAGCATTAAAATATATATATATATATATATATATATTATTATGGGTGTTTTATGTCAAAAGAATGATTGAAAATCTATATATTTATTTATTATTATTTTTTTTATATATATAAAATCATACCTGACAAACCGTCAACCAACTCCGATCAAATATGCTTCTTGAAATCAGATCTGCCATATTTTCAACAATATTTCCATAAGACCAACCAGTTTGAGCCGCTAATTTAGCCACCAGTCCTGGCTTTTTTTTTGCACCCAAACTTTGTTCAAGAAAACATTCTTGAGCTTGTGTTAACATAAGTTGAGAAAGCAATTTTACGGTATCACGACTTAAATCGGTCGAAGGAGCATGCAAAAAATTATCGTTTATATAGGTATACATTCCTGCGGAAGCTTGAAAAAAATTGTATGCGCGTTTAAGACATTCGGGTTCAGAACGATTTTGTGATGCCGCGATAGCAGATAAAACTGAGGCAAGGTTGAAAATTGTGCTCGCCTTTTCATACGCGAGCGAAAATTGTGAAGTTGTTTTATTTGTAAAAGCATCATACCTTAAAAATTCAAATTATAAAATTGAATAATTTAGGAAATATAGGAAATTAAAATCATTGATTAAATAAACCAACCATGTGAATGAGACTTTAATATGGTTTTCATCTACTGGAAATCTCAAGTCAAGTAATTCAAGTTGACCATAATATCGATACAATAAATCCCTTCCAATAATGTCTTTACCAGCACCTCTCATGTCTTGCCTTAGACGATGAATTGTATTAGCTTCTTCTGCATATTTTTCTGGATCTTCCTGATATGCTGTTTGAATATAACGTTTTAATGGATTTGCCCAATCAACCTCTTCAGTCCTTTTCAATGAAACGTGAATCGTCGGACTTTGGTTCATCTTTGAATTAGAATTTTGAATATTTTTTTTGAATTCTATATAGTTAAAAAGTTAAAAAGAAGCTTCACGTGAACTTATATACACGTGTCCATCAATTTACGATCATGTGATCATGCAAAAACGTTTATAAAAAGCTTTTTTAGTTTGATCTTTTAAAACATGACACATAGTTATGGACGAGAAAGAGAATCCAATAGTCTTTTTCGATATTTCCATCGGTGGACAGCCTGCTGGTCGTATGAAGATGGAATTATTTGCAGATATGGTGCCTAAAACTGCAGAGAATTTTAGGTATTATGATTTAAAGGATTTTAAAGGCAGATCGTGAAATAGATTTAAAAAAAAATAGTATTAATGCATAAATTTCAAATTGTAGGCAATTCTGCACAGGAGAATATAAGTAAGTTAAAAAAAATAATAATAATAATTTTAAATTAATTATTGAAACCTAATTCAAAAAATATATATATATATATATTTCAAAAATAATCTTAAACATGATAATAAATTTTATAGAAAAAATGGGATTCCTCAAGGATATAAAAATGCAACTTTTCACAGGTAAATTAAAAGCCACCTTTCTTATTTTATTCTTACATAAAAAAAGATTAATTTTTATTTTTAAGGGTAATTAAAGATTTTATGGTTCAAGGTGGTGATTTTGTAAAGGTACCAACATTTTAATATAATATAATATTTTTAATATAATATAATATTTTTAATATAATATAATATTTTCAATTTTTATAATATTTTTGAATTAGGGAGATGGTACAGGTTCGATTAGTATATATGGAGAAAAATTTTTAGATGAGAATTTTGAATTAAAACATACCGGACCCGGGCTATTATCATTGGTTAGTTCCAAAATCATATGGTTACTTAAGTTGATTAGAACATTATTAAATAATTTTGGTTTATAAAATTAATCAGGCAAATAGTGGTCCAAATACAAATGGATGTCAAGTAATAATTTTTATTTAAATTTGTTGACTTTATGAATTTTTGATTTTTAACTAAAATTAAGATTTCATTTAAAAGTTTTTTATTACATGTGCCAAATGTGAATTTTTAGATGGAAAACATGTTGTCTTTGGAAAACTCATTGATGGATTGTTAACTTTAAGGAAAATTGAAAATGTTTCCACTGGACCTGGAAATAGACCAAAGTTACCTGTAGTTATAACAGAGTGTGGGCAATACTAGGGATGACAAATCAATGTTCAACAATACAAGATTATAATTTTTTTTTTTTTGATTGGTAAAAAAATGGTTAGTGAAAAACTAAATTATGTTTTGAACTTTTTAAATTATTTCTAGACATTAAATATATTTTTTTTTCCTAAATCGTTGGAATAGTTTAAGATCAAATTATTAAGGGAAGTAATTGAAAAGTATTCTATTCTTGGAAATCATGTTAAATTCCAAGGGGCATTTTTATTCCAACTTAAATTATCAAGATGAATCAGACCAAATCTCTTTATGAAAGATTTCCTTTCTTATCACAGATTATAAAAACATAATATTCATTCATTAAAAAATTTAATCTCAAATTTGCTAAATAAAATTAAATAAATTTTTGTATGATGACGTAATTACTGGTTCACGTGAAAATGGTTTAACGTTCAATCTATAGAAATACATATGTATGTATTGAAAATATTATTAGTACTAAATTCAAACATAATTATTTAACAAACAAAAATGGCGACTACTCTTGAAAAATATTTACTTCGTGACCTTAAACAAATGCAAGAAACGACTGATGATCATAATGTTGAAATTCATGTCGGAGAGGACTCCAATCTACAAATTTTTAAAGCCCATTCCGCGATCTTAAGAGCTAGATCCTCTTATTTCGGGGTAGCATTGTCTGCTAATTGGGCAAAAAAAGAGGGGGATATGTACATTTTGGCCAAACCAAATATTAATCCCAATATATTTGATACTATTTTAAAGTAATTCTTATAAAGATATAATTTAATTCTTTCTTTCTAAAAATTTGATTGTAACTTTTTTAATGATTATTTTTTCATATATATATTCATATAATTTATTAGATATATCTATACAGGCTCAATTTTTTTTGATGATTTTACCAATTACTTTGAACTTCTAATGGCAGCAGATGAATTTTCCCTCATTGAATTAATTGAATATATTCAATTATATATTTTAAATGAAAAAATTGATTGGTTAAATCGAAATTTCAATGCAGCAACGCAGATATCCTTTAAACTTGAAGTATGTAATCAACTAAAGGAATATTGTTCCAAGATAATTCGTTTTGATCCAATTAAAATTTTTCAAGCTGATGATTGTAATTTAATAGAAAAGAATATTTTACTTGAAATACTTCAAAGTGATATGCTCAATATTAATGAAATAGATCTTTGGGAGAATATATTGAAATGGGGAACAGATCAAATCAATATTGATTTAGATTATTCTAAATGGGAAACTTCAGAAATAATAACATTAAAGGAATTATTAAGTGATTTTATTCCATATATTAGATTCTTTGATATTACTGGATCAGATTATTGGGATAGAATTCGACCATATGAAAATTTATTATTAGATGAATTGGTGGAAGATTTAAAAAGATTTTATATTACAAATCGGCCACCTTTAGTTAGTAAAATATTACCATCAAGAATGTATGAAATTATTCATTCTTTTATTGTTTTGCCTCAACATTTGGCTCAATTTTCTAGTTGGATAAATAATACATCAGAAATTTATCCATTAAATAAAATTCCTTACAAATTTGAATTAATTTATCAAGGAAATCGAGATGGTTTAAATAATATTACAGGATTTAAAAAGAAATGTCAATCTCAATCAAAGACAATTATTGTAATTAAGGTAGCAAATAAAAATAAATTAATTGGTGGATATAATCCTTTCAGATGGGATTTTGATAACACATGGACAAAATCAAATAAAAGTTTTATATTTTCAATAGATAATAATAAGGAATTAACCAATAGTATATTTAGTTTAATTAAAAATCATGAATATGCAATTTCAGATGCAAAAGGAAAAGATATAGGATTTGGACATGATCTTGAATTTTTTGATGGAGGAAGATATGAACATATAGATTATGATAAGAAAATATTGAATGATAAAACTTTTGAAGTTGAAGATTTTGAAGTTTTCAAATTAGATTCAATATAAAAAAACTTTTTATTATTGGAGCAAAATCAAAAATTTATATAATTTAGTTATACAGTTAGAATTGACAATAATATGTAAAACATTTACTTTGATATTTTTATTCAATAAAATATTTTACACAACTAGTTTATATATTTAAATTGACAAAGTAATAATTTTTAATCAATTTCAAGGTGAAAAATAATATATATATATTGTAAAAATAATTTATTTTCAAAAATTTGAATTGTTCAAATTATATAAAGGTTATAAAAGTTATAAAAATTATTATAAAAATTTATTTAAAGTTATGTAAAGTACTTTTTTTTATTAGATATATTTTTATTAGAATTTTATCCTTTGTTTTTTCAGGGTTTAATAACAAGAACTATAGTATTGTGCATTTATGTATTGTTTCATGAATAGTTTATTTCTTCTCAAGAAATTTTGATGTGAAATAGTTATTGACATTCTCTTTGATTTCACCTAAAGTTAAATTTCATTAGTTTGGAAAACAAAATAAAACAGATGATGAAATAATATCATAGAAGTTAAAATTATTTTACTTAAAATCTAGAATTTTTGTTTATCCAGATAAATTCTTTAATTAAAAATACTTAAATTGAAACTTTTTTTATATCTATATATAAAATAGATAAAATCTTAAAAAGTCAAAATACATATTTTATTTTATAAATATATACAAGGATTGAGCTTAGTTTCCTATATCTTTTATATAACTTAAAATAAATTACTTGATATTATCTTATACAAAGTATAAATATATTCAATTTAAATACATATAGCCAGTTTTAACTTATTTCAAAAAGAAAAATTATTTTTGTAAAATATATGCTAAAAACATAATATATTATATACAATATTTGTATATAAACCTTGTAAATAATTTATTTTAAACTTCAAAGACAATTATTATTTTAAATTATATTAAGTATAATAAACCAATACTTTTTCAATTATTACTATAACTAAAGATAATGTCCTTAATTATTTTTTTAATTCCTTAATTAATTCTTAAGTTTTTAATTAATTTTTAAGTCTTTAATTAATTCTTAAATCTTTAATTGATTCTTAAGTTTTTTATTGATTCTTAAGTTCTTAATTATTCTACAAGTCCATAATTATTCATAAATTTGTATAACTTAATAATTAATAAAGATGATATTTTTAATTATTTTTTTAAAATCTTTAATATACAGATTTTTTAAATAGAATTGTAATTAGTACTTCTAACAAATTAACTTTCAAATTAAACAAATCAAAATTTATATAATATAGGTTATAGCCCATTATATTTTATAATAATATTTTATATTATGTGAATAAAGATGTTACCCTAATTATTTTAATATTGCAAATTTTTGAATAAAATTATAATATAAATCTATAATTCTGTAATTAATTGACCATTTTTAAAATTTTTATATTTCTGATTTCAAAATGATATTTTTTTTATCTTAATTAAACAAAGAATTGCCATACTGAAAAGGAATTTCAATTTTAACTGATTTATAATATGTTGACAAATAATTTCATCATATATAAAAGTAACAACTTGTAGAGTAGTTGCATCAGGGACAGCTCGAGCTTCAGGTCATTTTGTTAAATAATCAGTAACAACGATAATATATTTATTTCCTCTAGGTGTACAAGGTAAAGGTCTAACAAAATCGATTTCAACTTTTTCAAAGGGACCTCTTACAGGGATAAGTTGTAGAGGTTGAGGGTTTCATTTTCGTCCTCGCCGTTGACATACATCACATGCTCAGATATAGTCTTTTATATTGTCATACATTTGTAGCCAATAATATAAGTTACAAACTTTATTAAAAACTATTTCAACTCCTAAATGTCCTCCTAAGGGGTGATTATGTAATATTAATAGAACAGGTTCAACTTCGTGTTCTTGTAATATATGGATTAATTTACCACAAGTCTTTTTTCGTCTATTAATTTTATATAATAAATTATTTTCAATTTTGTAAAATTTACTTTTAGATTTTATTCGATTTCGATCCCCAACTTCACTTGGTAGAGTTTAATTTGTTAAATATTATTTGAGTTGTTGATATTCTATAAGATCTATTTTGTCAGGACACTGACAACCTGAACTGGATTGTGTTTACTATTGGATTAAGTACTTTATTACTTTTGTTTGTATATTATTAATGATATGGGTATAGTTTATTATGAAATACAAGAGAAAAAATTAGCATCGTTGTGTTTTCGTCTGGCACAGTGAATAATAGTATAATTATAAGGTTCAAGTCTCAAAATTCATCTCACTCATTGTCCTGTTAATTCTATTAAATATAATTATTTAAGTGTAGAGTGATTAGTTACTACATAGAAATGGTCAGTACCAAAGTAATATCAGAAGTGTTCGATAGCTCATACTATAACTAGACATTCTAAGTTGGTAGCAGAATAATTTTGTTTAGCCTTATTTAAACTACGACTTGCATAAGCAATAGTATATTTCCGTTTATTGGTCTCATCCTTTTGTGCAAGGACAGCTCCTAGTCCAAATGACAATGTATCCGTATACAAGTAGAATGGTTTATTAAAATTTGGGTGTTGTAGAATTGGCACAATAATTAAATATTGTTTCAGTAAATCAAAGAATTTTTGTTGTTTAGCAGACCAAATAAAAGGTTCATCCTTTTGGAATAATCGATTTAGAGGTTTAGTAATATTAGAGAATTGATTAATAAATTTTTAATAATAAGAAGGAAGGTCAATAAATCCTCTTAGTGTACAGAGATTGATAGGAATAGGAAAGTTTTTCACTTTGTTAATTTTTTTATCATCAGGTTGGATCTCTTTTCGAGTAATTTCATGTCCCAAAAATTTGATAGAATATAAAAAGAAATGACACTTGTCCTTATTAAATTTTAATTTTACTTTTCATAAGACCTTAAATATTGTTTTTAAATGAGCAACATGATCATCAAAGGTTTGAGAATAAATGGTAATATTGTCAAGGTAGACAATTAAAAATTTGTCAATGTATCATGACAATACTTTTTTCATTAACCTTTGAAAGGTTGCAGGAGTATTGTAGAGCCCAAAAGGTATAACATTAAATTCGTATAATTCATGTTTGATAATAAAAGCAATTTTCTTTTTGTCATCTTCTTTAACTACAACTTGCCAGTACTTGGAAGCTAAGTCAAGAGTGAAAAATCATTTAGCACCTTTAAATTTTTCAAGAATATCATTAATAATAGAGAATGGATATATGTTGTTACTAATCGACCTTTTGAACTAATTTTATTTTTCAAAAGACAATTTACAACTAACAACTCGTAAACAGTTACTTTAGTTTACGAATTGAAGAGGATAATTGAAGAAAACTAAAAGAAATATTAAGTTAAATACTAAAAACTAATTAAAAGACTTAAGAACTTAAGGTCACGGGTTTTAAATATTGATTAACAATTTAGGATAAATCTGTATCTCGCATCCTGTATAATGCTTATATCTAGCTCCGGGGAAGAGATACCTGTAAATGTCACAGTATATAAAAAATTGTTTAAGTCACATGTTTACGATTGTTAATTTAATGTTACATTTATATCATACGATCATCATTTATTTACAATTTATATAATAAGTAATCGCGATCGCGATTACATTTTTATTTCTTTTTTTTAAAAAAAAAAACCTTTAAATAATAAACTTTTCTATATTAATAACTTCGATACTTTCTTTTCCAAATTTATTTATCCACACTCTTATGAAAAGCAGCATTGTGTCCTACTTAATTACATACACGACATCTGTAAGAACCTCTAGTTTTGGATTCTCCTCGAGAACCTTTTTCTTTTTCAACACTACTCAAATACCGTCACTTGGATGGTCGACCTTTATTAGTAACTTTGTTTGAATTCTTTACACTCTTGAGGTTTGTTTTAATTATTTCATTATCTTGTTCAGTTTTATCTTCATCTTTCTCTATTTGATCATTATTTTCTAATTCAGCATTGATATTACTATCTATCTCATAGGTATCATTAAATATAAGTCTTTCATCGATTGCTGATATTTCATTTACAGGTGTTTCACCATTTACAGGTATTTTATTGTTTGTAGGTGTTTTGTCATTTGCAGGTCTTTCGATTTCAACTTCAGGTCTTTTATTAATTACAGGTGTTTTATCATTTGTAGACATTTCATGGATATTTCAATTTGATTTTCTTCTAATATAATCTTGAAGAAAGGTAGTTATTTCGCTATCTTCTTCTTCAACTGCAAGTAAAGTAGCCATTCGTGCTAATCCCCATATTTGATTATATAAATTTCTTTTACGAATAGCTTTTTTAAGTGTAGAAACGGTTGTTGAAATTGTGACAAGCTTTCTTGTTGATAAAATACCTTCATTATCATAAGCATCTCTTTTATAATTGAATATTATACTTTCTTGCGAATTTACTCCATCTTAATAAATATCTTTATACCACCGTTAAGTTATCATACTGATATGAAATGTTGCAATTTTGAAATTCATTATAACACAAAAATAATGGTGACATATAATTCCTCTTGAGAATGATTTAAGGCACGAACATAGAAAGAATATTTCATTAATTATAATAACGAAATGTATGTGATGTTTTCTTTCACTTCGTATATCAATAACTTTCCATATTTCTAATACTTTATCTTTTTCTACTTCTTCAATTATAGTTTGAAGCGTGATAAAAAGTGTGTCATATTAATCTTCAATAAATCCATTTGACATTTTTAGAAGATTTTCTATAGAAACGAAAAATTAAAAAAAAAATTAAAAAATTAAAAAATAAATAAAAAAAATGAAAGAATACAATATACCTGTTCACTATTTAATTCTTCATTACTAGGCTTAATTAAATTCACATTAACAAATAAACATTGAGAAATTTCTGTCTTTATTATATTATTAATAGGTTCGGTGAGATATTTATTGAGGACTTTTATTATTTCAGAAAACAAATCTTGTCCAATGGTAGAAACAGTATTTGATATAGTAACTTGCTTATATTCATAAAACTGATTCCATTGTTCCTCTTCTTTTAATCTTAAATTAAGACAATCTACAAGCTCGCACAAATTACTATTCGACTTTAATTGTTGTTTTATAACCCAATTATAGTCTTTAACCCTTGAAGTACTTTCAATACCAGCTGTGAAATTTTTATAAAGATAAGCCTGAGCTCACGATTTACAGTTTCGATCTAATGCACGTAAAAGATAATTTTTTACTATCGGAAAATCATTAAGTAATTAATTTCATCTTTGTTTAAATAGTAGTTCACATAAACTGTTTTGACAGTAATAAAATTGTTTAAGAAAATCATTTTATTTTTTACTCAATTTTTCTTTTAAATTTTTAGGTAAATTTTATGCAATATGAAATATACAGTGAGTTGGATATGTTTCAAGAAAAACAATTGGAATTACCACATCAAGTGCAGGATCTGCATCGGTAAACATAACAATTGGAGTTGTTCGGTTGCTCTTCTAATATATTCAAGTATCCAAATATATGTATCAAGGGATTCATCACTTACTAATGCTTGACAGACAAGGTAAGATTTACATTTATTATCTACTACTATAAAAATTTCCAACGGCATTTGATACTGATTAGTTTTAGCCATATTATCATTTATCACAATATCATAATATTTAAGCTACAAGTTAACCTGATCAGGAAATATCCAAAGAAGACGAGTTAAATGATTTTATTTATCTAATTCAAAATCTACAACCCATTGTAAGTCTTCAATTTTTTTTTACATTAATGAAGTAAGTAATATAGATGTATCATTTTTAATCTTATCAATATTTTTGTATTTTTGAATTGTATTGGCCAGATCTTGGTCTTGAAAATGAAGATTCGGAAATTGGGTCTTTAGAAGGTTTCTTTGTGCTGTAAGGATTAAATTTCCATATTTTGTCATTAATGAAATTTCCTTAAGAGCTTCATCAGTAAATGACCGATATTTTGTTGCAAATTCTTGAGTTTTAGGAACAAGCAAATGATTATGTTAGTTGATAAATGTTGTGATAATTATTTTAATCAAATGTTTCAAAAAAGATAAGTTTATATGCCATGGACAACTTAATTTCTTTGTTTTAGTGTTTTGTTGTAATCCTTTTAATGCTGCTTTTTCTTTTTTTTTTATTTACATTTACCACTAAACTCACAGACAAAAGTTCTTTTATGAACTTGACCTTTATTATTCTGTTCCATTCTATATTTAACAATTGCAAACCCATTTCTACTGTCATATTCATTAAAATAGTTCTCAACTTCATCCCATATATCGAACCTAGTATCTTTAGAAATATCTTCAGAAGTAATTGTAAGGTGTGTTAATATTGTGTAAAGATTATGGATAATTCAATATACATAGATAGTAGATACTAACAAAAATTTTCTTTATCTTCATTAATATTTTCGATATTCTCCATATCTTGTATATCGTTCACAACATTAATGGAACGAATTTTAGCTGGATTTTTGTTCATTAAGTCTCACAATATTATCAATGCATGTAAAAGAAACAAGGCACAACAATTTAAATATAATTAAGTTGACTTCGAAAATAAACATGATACTAAGATAAAACAAGAATAAAAAAAAAAAAGTTTGTTTATTGTTATAAATAAATTGTATGACATATTTAGTTTATTAGGAAATGCGATTTATTAGATATTTCACCTTGTATAAAAAATGATATCATGTATGATGTAACTAATCAAATTATATTTAATATATCATGCTAGATTTAATTACATCGCCCCACGCGAGATCTACATTTATTCTAAATATTGATTAACAATTTAAGTTTTAAAGGTCAATTTAAGAAATTAAAGTAAAGAATTGAATATATTTATCAATGGTTTATAAAATAATAACAGAATTTTATAGATCAGAATTTATAATCAAAGAATATAAATAATAAAAGAATAATAGAGTTTTAATATAGGAAATATAAGTTTATTACGAAGAAAATCAATAATCTAGTTACTTTAGGATTATAAAATTATTACAGTTAAGATTATTTTCTAAATTTCACTATTTAGAATTATTCGAATCTTATTTGAAAACTATATGAATCTCTCTTGGGATGGAAAGAAAACTTACCCTTTTTATAATATTTGATTTGACTAGTAAGTTGATTAGTAAGTTGGTCAAAATTTTGATCAGTAATTGTGCCAATTAGTTGACCACTAAGTTGGTCAATTAGTTGACCACTAAATTGGTCAGTAAATTAACCAGTAACTGGGTCATTATGATCTACATTATTGATTTACATAATTTGTATTACACTTCTAAATAAATAAATACTAATAATTAAATATACTAAATATAACTATACTAATAAAATAAATACAAATAAAAAATAAAAATAAAATAAAATAATAAAAAATTATAAAAGTGAAGAAAACCGATGATAACAATGTTCTTTTCAGTAACTTTATTAAGTTTACAGTAGTTAATACAAATACTCTTCTTTTCATTTTTCTTTAGAACAATAATAACTGAAGAGACCTAGGGACTAGTAGATTCTTGGATAATCCCTTTCTTTAACATGGTATTAAGTTCATTTTTGATAAAGTCTCCTTTCAAGGGAGCAATTCAATAGGTTTTTTATTTAATAGATTTAACGTCTTTGATTTGTATTTCGTGTTTAACCACATGTATTTGTGTTAGTTCAATGGTTTGTCCCTCCTCAGACATGTTTTCAGCAAACACATCATTGTGATCAGTAAAGAATTTATTAGTAACAATTGTTTGTTGTTCATTAAGGAATCCTTGTGTATTGAATTGTTCGTCTTCATAATTGACATTGTTTGTAGTGACTTCATTTTCACAGTTTGTAAAGAATATGGTAGGATTTTCATCAAAGATGTATCTTGATAGTTTTTCATTATGCTGAGGAAAATAAGATTCAGTTTGAAAGGATTCGCATTCTTCCAGATCTTCTAATTCATATTTTAAATCATTTTAGATATCGTTATCATTTTCATATTTGTTTTCCTCATCCTCATCAGGTAAAGAGTCAACATGGTCAGAATAGGTAATGTTCACATTGATTACTTCTCCTTCATATCGTAATTTAAGTTTACAGGTTTTAAAGTTCCATTGTGTTTAAGTCTTTTCGAAAAAGTCAGTACCTAATAATAAATTTTTTT